GAGGGAAGTTTTGGCCAGGTACTGACTGCTAACTGCAGTGCCTGTGGCGGGATGCTGTTGCTGGGCGTTGTGTGCTCAGGACAGCTTGTGGCCCCATGCAAGTAACACAGACTTGTATTACTGGAAAATCCGCAGCAAAGTATCAGCACCCAGGACACCATCAGAAATTAGTTTCTCACTTCTCCAATGAACCCAGTAGCCACTGCAGCGCCAAAAAGCAGGAGTGTGAGTGGGGGAAATGTTAAGTACAGTAACAAGTGACATTTTTATCTTATTTGATCATCAGTTTTGTTGCATACTTCTACAGAGCTATCACATTTCCTTAGAGCCCAGAAGCCTTGAAGCTACAATGTATTTCCTTAGTGGCTGGATGAAACATCTGGTTTACCACACCAGAATGGGGCTTCAGAAGATACACACAGATAGACCCTGTGGGTTCTTGTGGGACAGGCAGTGTGTACAAGGTCTGACACAAAGTGCCTGATTTGCTTTTGCTGGAAGAGAAAGGCCAGAAGTGTAAAAAAACCTCAAAACAGTCCAGCCTTGATGCCTGCCAACTTCACTAATGTTAATTTATGCCTTTGATTTGGTCACAAAACTCAACAATAATGTTAATGAATATTTATTTATAGAAGCTTCAGCACATCCCATTTCAAAGAGAAAAGGCTGAGGTTTGGGCTTTCCTTTTCACAGCAATCCTCTCCAGACCACAGAGAAAACAATTATGAAAAGTGATGAAATTAAAAGGAACTGTTGATTCTAAGGCAAAGACTCCTAACTCTTCTAGTTTCTCATTCTACTCAAAACTGGAGAGCAAAGAACTAGCTATGGGTGTGACCCTGTTACACTCCAGATTCAAATGAAGACTGAGCCATGCACAAAGCACCTGACACCCACCCAGAGGGAAACCGGGGCTTCTCCCAACCCAGACATGCCCTGAGTAATTGTAAGTCACACAACGCACTGAGGAACGAGGCAAGAGGAGCCATCACCCCAAAATCCACTGCAGCACCCAGGCTCAGCCCTGGCCACCAGTCACTGCCGCCTGTTGATAGTGGAAACCTGCATAAATGCGGCACTTTGGTATCATGAAACTCAGCTTTTAGAAAGACGTTTTTTTCCCTCACGATCAAATATTTTTGACTGAAGGATGTTTTTATTGTACAGGGAGAAAACCGCGAGGAGCTTACAAGCTTTGTAAGACTGGCTCCACTAGTGCCGATGAGCACCGGGTTTGCTCAGGAAGGTGCCACACCCACCCGCTCCTTCAGCTACCGAAATTTGCCCTGCCACACCGCGCCAGCTTTCCAGGGAAAGCTCCACGAACCCAAGCAATCTTGTGCCACAGCTACAGTGACCCCATCATCCACCGATCCAGTCCCCCAGGAGGAAAGCAACAACCTGGAGACCAACACCTGTGCTGGGGGAAACCTCTGCCGTGTGAGCAAGCTCCGGGTGCGATTTCCCCCACCACACCCCTATCCGCCAGCTCTGCCCGTTCTTTATCTCAGCCCCTGTATAACAGATCGTGTGTATCAAGCGAAAGCATATACTGTATCAAAGAATCCAGTTCCTTTCTTTCTGGCATGGAAAGCACACCGTATTGTAGCTCTCTCTGCACGGGTACAAAAGCATCTAGCGGGAGACAGGCACCGATAGAAGAGGATGCTTATGATTAACTCTTTGACTTCTGATTCCCACTACGCCTGATGTATTAATAGCGCGCAGAGGTGTTGGTGCTGGCATCATGGCGCTCTTTGATTTTCCACGCTTCCCCCCACGCCCACGCTCGCCCACCTCCCATTTCTCCGCACCCTGTGCCTCCCCCCGGCCCACCGCCCCTGCCCCGCCGAGGCTGCGCTGCCCCTGCCCGCTGCGGGGGGCGGTGGCAGGGGCACGTTGTGCTGCGGTGGTCCCCTCCCTCTTTTGTTCTGCCTCGCCCGGCGGCCGAGCCTCCCCGGGCCCGGCTCCTCGGGAGGGCGGTACCCCGGCCCCAGCCCCGACAGCGCCGGGACGAGCCCCCCGCCGGCCCTCCCTCCCCTCCCCGCCCCGGGCTGGAGCGAGCACACAGCGCCGAGCCCCGGCTGGGCGCGGGCGAGCAAGGGGAGGCAGAATACAATAAAGAAATAAAATAAAAACGAATTAATGAAAATTTAAAATTAAATTAAATCAGTCCTCGCGCAGAGCTCCCAGCGGGAGGAGGACGGGCGGCGGCGCCCGCACCGCGGCTCCGGCGAGCGCCGGCCCCGCAGCCTGGGGCTGCCCGCGGCCCCGGGCGCTGCGCGGCCGCGGCGCTCCCGCCGCTCGCCTTCCCCGCCCGCGAACAAAGGAGCGCGGGCAGCGCTCGCTGCGCCCGGGGCCGCTTACCGTTATGTGGGGGATGCTCTTCTTGCCCTGGTAGGACATGTCGGCTCTCCCTAGCGCCGGGAGCACGCAACGAACCCGAGGAGCGAGCCGAGCCCAGCGGAACAACACCGGCGGCGCTGAGACGAATAATAATGCGAAGCCCGGTCGGGTGATGGGGCGGGGCGGGGGCGACCCGGCACAGCGGTGGAATGGGGGCGAAGTTCCGTCGCCCAGAGGAAGGGGAGACCGGCAAACCCGGCACCTTTTTTTTTCCGGCTGCAATCAAACAGGGACGCGGCTCCCGGGGGGGTCGGCGAGCGCTGCCTCTGCCGGCGGCAGCAGCGCCCTCCCGGCTGCAGGTCGGAGCAGGATTCGCTCAGCGCAACCCAGGAAGCGTTTCCTTCCCTCCTGTCCCCCACCCCTCCGCCTGGCCCCCCTTCACAGCCCATCAATCCAGCCGGAGCCTCCCTCCCTCCCGCACCGGCTCTGGGAAACGCCGCCCCGCCGGCTCCGCCGCCGCCCCGCTCGCACGCTGAGGTCACCGGCAGGATCCCATGCGTGGGTTGCCGCAGGGTGGGGACGGGGGATACAACCCTCGGCGGTGGGTTCTGCTGTGCTGCACATGGCAATGGCACTGCCTGTCCCGTCCCCACGGCATGAAGCCTGATGGCAGTGCTCTGCACTATCCCCATGGAACTGTCCCCACAGCAGTGACCCTGATCGCACTGCCCTGTGCTGTCCCCATACCACTAATCCTGATGGCATTGCCTTGCACTGCCCCTGATGGCCCTGTCTGCTCTGTCCCTGATGGCACTGACCCAGGTGGCACTGCCTTCTCTGACCCTATCAGAACTGTCATGCTCTGCCCTCCTCGTCACTGCCCCATTGTCACACACCTGCTCTGTCCTGTGCCAATGGAGCTCACGGGGGATAACACAACCAGGCCAGGCCAGGTAGATGCTATATCAGCAGCTGCTGGAGAGGTCCAAAGGCTAGTTGAAACCCTTCTGTCTTTTCTCTGTCCCACAGAATGCCTCCCTCCACCCATGGTGCTTGAGGGTAAAAGGCACTGCAAAGCTGTGCCCAAGTTAATTCCCTCAAGGACATGCACTCTGGAGCTCTTTGCACACCCACCCCTGTGATAAACACAGAGATAAAAGCCATTGAGCACCCAGGCCACATCCCCGACACATCTTCCCAGAAATCATTGTTTGAAACTTGTAAAAAACTCTGGATGTCACTGCACAGGGGTCACCTGTATCTGCTGCTTACAGTGCATCTCCCTAAGCCACTGGCCAAATTTTGTCTGCTTTACCTCTAACCTCATCCTCACCTCGCTTTGGTCAACTTTGCAAGCACAGTGGGATCCAGAGAAGCAGTGTGCGGTGTGTGCTCACTACCCTGAGTCCCAGGATGAACTAGGAAGCAGGGAAAATGGGGATGCAGCACCATGGATGTGCTAGAAGATGGTGTGTGCTGTGCCCTCCCTCTGCCCCAGGGTCCTGATCAAAAAAAACTCAGGAGTTCAGGTGCGCTAGAAAAGAGAAGACTGCACTGCAGCTGGCAGCCTCTGAAGGCAACCCTGGGGTCGTTGCAGAGCAGCAGCATCCCAGGCACAGTGTCCCACCAAGCCCTGCCTGCTCGCTGCAGTGTCTCACCACAGCAGACACCCACTGGACTGCACAGGAGGCCATGGCACCTGCATGCAATCCCCAGGCCAGAGCAAGCCAGCACCCCATTCATGCCCAAATTGAAGAGGGGTGAGAAGAGTGGAAACTCTCAGTTCAGCCTGTGGAAAGAGTGTGGACAAGCCACAGAGGCTCCAGGCTGTGTACTCAGGAACAGGGTGTATCCATGCAGAAGCATCACTGCAAGGCCGCATTTCTTTCTAAGGGGAAATCAATGACAGCCCGGGATCCCATGAGAGCCATCCCCTCGGGTCTGCCTCCAGCCTGCATGCCACCGACAGGGCTAAGATGGAGATGTACAGCCGCCAGGGGCCGGCCAGCCCCCCGGTTCACTTCCTCCTTGAGCCTACAATGAGTCCAGGCTGCAGAAAGGGGAGCCCAGGGCAGAGGTCTCGGCCGATCCTCCCGCCTCCCGCGCTCCCTGCCGGGGAGACAATGCAGGCGCAGAGGGAGCCGGGGGAGCAGGGCCAGAGACAGGGCGGGGGGTCGGGGCAGATCCTGGAGCTGTGCCTGGGACAGGCTCCGCGGAGTTTCCCCGGCGAGTTCGGGAGTGCAGCGGACCCGGCTTTGTTCCGGGGGGCGGCCGGGAGGCGCTGAGGGACCCGAGCTGCCCTCCAGCCCCCGGCACGGGCAGGAAAGGAAACGAGAAAACTCATCGCCATCACTTACAAAGGAAAACGATTTCTGGGGTCGCCCCCTCCGGCCCCGCTAAGCTCTGCCAAGTGAGGTAGTTCGGGGCCAGCCGGGCTCTCCCCAGAGCACCAGCGTGCCTGGGAGGAGGGGGCCGCGCCTCCCCGACCTGCCGTGCCGAAACTCCCCCGCGAAGGCGGCCCCCTGCCCCTGCACCGGCGAGCGGGGCTCTGCGGCACGGCTCGGCCCGGCTCCGCTCGGTACAGCAATCTCGGCTCCGCTCGCCCAGCGAGCGGGGGCGGCGGCTCCCACCTCCCCAGCCCGGGCCCCGCTCACCTGTCCATTGTCCTGGCCCTGCAGCAGCTCCTTCCCCATGGGGTATTTGATCTCCACGCCCGGGGTCTTGTCCTCCCGGTCTCCCGGGGAGCTGATGACGGAGCCGGAGATCTCGCTGATGTCGCTGGCGGTCTCGCTGTAGTTGTCCCCTCCGTCCAGCATGTCGTGCCGGCTGCCGCTCCGCGGGGTCCGGGACCCCTTCTTCCCCACGCTGTAGGCATCGAAGTCGATGGTTTTGTTCTCATAGGCCCCCTCCACGGAGGCGAACATTCCCCCGTATTTCTGTCGCGGTGTCTGAGCTGTCGTGCCCGGCCTAGCTAGATACACAGGCAGGTCATCTTCTTTATTCCAGTTCCTCTTTCTCTCGGCCATTCTCGCTGTCCGTGTCTTTCTCTCTCTATCTCTCTCCCTGCCTCCCACTTCTCTGCACCTTCCACTACCGGGATAGGCTGTTGGTGAACATAAAAATGAATGGATGGATGCAGCAGTGGTGGAGCTGGGTTGGCTGGTGGGATCTTTCCGTTAGGGACCTGCAAACGTTAACCTCCTTCCCCCACCCACCCCCCCGGAAAAAAAAAAAAAAAAAAACCACAAAAAAAAAAAAAAAAAAAAAAAAAAAAAAAGAAAAAAAGAAAAAAGAAAAATAAGGAGAAGGAAAGAAAGAGAGAGAGAGAAATAAATCCGAGCGGGATTTAAAAATAGCCGTGTTAGTAAAGAGCACGTGAAAATAAAGTACAAAGAGCGGAGCGGAGAGGGTGGCAGAGGCAGGTGATTGGAAAGCCCCTGACGAATGGGAAGAGCAGCAGCGATTCCCCGAGCAGGGACCGCAGTGCACTGCTCCCCCGGTATAGAATGATCCGGGGGGCGGGCGGCAGGGGGAGGAGGCAGGGAGGGAGCCCGCCGCATGCACACACGGCCGGTGCCAACGGGGTCCTGCCCTGCGGGCGGGAGGGCGCCGGTCACCCGCTGCTGCGTGGCTTCGGGGCTGGAATAAAAGAGAAAAAAAAAAAAAAAGAGAAAAGCTCCGAACCTCCCCAGCCCCCCCGGGACGAGCCGGAGGGAGTTTCTCCCACTTTGCTCACTCACATTGCCCCCGCCCCCCTCCGCGGGAGAGGCTGCGGCGCTGCCCGGGCGGGGCGGGGGGCGCGGCCGCGGCAGCCCCCGGTACGGGCGGGGGATGGGCCAGCGTCGCTCGGGGTCGGTCTGCGGCCGCAGGGGGAGCGGCGGGGAGAAGAGCGAGGGGTGGCCGGAGTGTGGGAGGAAGCAGAAGCAGCCCCTGCCTCAGGGCAGGGGGGCCGGCGCTGCCCCTGCCGCAGCCGCCGCTGCCCGCGGGGGTGGAGGCGGCTCTGCTCCGCCCCCGCCCCCGGCCGCCGCTCCCCGCTGCGGCGGCGCGGACCGGGCGCCCGACCCCTTCGCACGCCGCGGGGGCAGGGGCTGCGGGAGAGGGGCTGCGGGAGAGGGGCTGCAAGAGAAGGGCTGCGGGAGAGGGGCTGCAGGCGGGGGCTGCAGGCAGCAGTGCCGGCCCTGACACGGAAGTGATCGCGCCGAGCGCTGCCTGAGCCGCGGCCCCGCCGCCGGCACGGGGCGCGGGCTCCGCGGGCCTGGGCGCGCTGCCCACGGCCCCGAGTGTCCGCCGGGCCCCCCGGAGGGCGCGGAGCCGAGCGTGTCCCGCGGATCCCCCCGGCGCGGCCGGAGCGCGGCTCGCCCCCGGAGCTGTCCCTTCAGCACCCCGGGAGCCTCCCGGGCCCGCACGGGGCTCGTCTGACTTGGCCTCGGCAGAAGGAGACAAACCGGGGAGGGCTTGGCTTCACTGTGGGGGAAAGTTGCCAAAAGCAAGGGCAGGAGGAGTGGAGAGTCTGAGAGTGTGCTCCCCTCAGCTCTCTGCACAGCCTGCTTCAGAAAGTCCATCCTTACAGCCCTGCCTTACAATCCTCCTGAGATTTGGTGCCTGAGATCACCCACCAAATTCACAAGTCCTTGGACACTCCTCTCCTGCACCAGCAGACAATCTGAAATTGTCACAGGCTTTGACTGTGCCAGTAGTTACATAAGGGACATTTTCTGTTGCTCTGAAATAATATATTGTAACAAACTGGTCTGAGATTGATTATGTGACTAAGCAGTTTGAAGCAGTGGATCAATCACAAGGCCTGTTTATTGCTCATGTACAAAGTGATGCTTGAATACAAGCCCAACCACACTGCACTGTTGTCTTTGGTCCACAGGAGTACCTGATGGTCCCAGCATGAGAAAAATTGCAAGTTACTAATTGCAAAGCAGGAAAAGTGGGAGGTCCCTGGGATTTCATCAGAAATTAGTCTAGATAACCATCTTTCTCATCAACAACTACCCATGGACCCAAACCATGTGAAAAAACAGTGATGTGACATACCTGAGTAATGCCAAAATACATCAAAGGAAAACATCTTTCTTTTCTGCACTTATGATCCAGTGGGACCTGCTGTCTTAAATGCTGTGTGTGCATTCAACACTATAGGTGCTGCTCACATGAGCAGAGTTAGTAAGATAGTCAAAATTTCACTTATTATTGGTTATCGGCACACTGATTTTAGTCAACTGCCATTTATGAGCATATATTTCCCAGGTTTCTACAGCTCACTTAATAAACCATATTTCCACATTAACACATTAATATCATAGAGCGGTTTCACTGGTGCATGTGGAAAAAAAAGAAGTATAGCTCATATTGCTTCATTGCTTCCTTAGTCTTCTCTTCTACGGGAAAATACTGGGATTTTTTTCCTGATGGTAACATTGAGGTTTATTGATCATGTTGGGGAAAAAAAAAGGTCAATTTTTTCTACACAGGACACCAAATAGTGTCAGTTAGTGAAATATATAGGTGGTACATGGATTGTGATGTGTAACTCGACTGTCTTTGCAAGTACTGGAAAAATATTCATTTTATTAGTTACTTCTTTGCAATCAAGAGATTAATTCCAGAATAAAAACTTCTGAAGGTCCCATAGTAGGTCTGATATGTTGCATAGTGCATACATCTGCTAAATGAAGAGCATTTTTATTTATCATCCATAAAGCTAAGAAAGATGGACTCTGTTTACACTTGGGATCTAGTTAGATAACACTGTTCAGGTTTCCAGAGCACTCATGTTTTTTTAAATAAAAAAAAAATAATGCTAATTTTTAAGTATTAAGTCAGGATATTCGTATTAATTCTGATACATAAGGAGATCACAAGACTCAGAGAACATGTCAGATCAGTGCTTTAGAAAATAGCATTAAACTTTCTAGTTGGAAACAAGCATAAACGAATATCAGAGTCTGTCTTTGCTTTTAAATGTTTTGGGTTTTCTTCATACCATAGGCCTTAGTTTGCTAAAAACTATTCTCAGTCACCAGATGCAGACTGTTCCTTTGTTAATTAAGAGTAATTTTAGGTGCTACGGAAGCAGACTCAAGTGCATCCTGATACCCTGGCATCCTGTGAGTTTGCCTAAAATCAAGTATGCAGCTTTGGAGAAATATATTGCTTTGGTATATTCTCTTCCAGACAGTGCGTCTCATCCTGTTTTGACATTGCTTGATGAAAAGAGGACTGAACTTTATTGAAAATGCACAGTCTTCCTATAGGACCTTTATTCCAAATAGACTAGATGAGTGATAGCAGCAAACCTAGAGACACGTTTGCTTCACACTACAAAACCTGCAACATCTTGCTGGATAAAAGCCCAACAAGAAGGGTGTCACATACCTTGGCTTTGTTTGTAGGTGAGCTCTTTCAACAGCATGAACATCATGAGCTAGAACAGAACGTCCCTGGTGCAGGGCCTTAGAGAGTGTGCAATGTGCATTTTGCACCTATTTTTTGCTATTGTGCATTTTACAACAGAATCATTGAACCAAAAAAGGCAGGAACGGTCCAAAGGGAATGAATGTGAGAGACACGAGTTCTCATTCTTCCAGAGGAGTGATTGGAGTTGCCAAGTCACTGAGTCAGTCTCCCTGTCTGTTCTGTGGGACTGCTGTATCTCCCCCCACAAAAGCCCATCCCATGGATTGGTGATTTGAACTGTCTCCTGACATACAGGAACTGTGAATCCAAAACACAGCTACAAGCTGGGGACAGCTCAGGTTACCCACTTCATGAGCAGTGATACAGCCCACAGTATTCTGCCAACTCACATTAATTCCACTAACTCGGCAGAAACTGAATGGCAGCTCCTCCACCAAAAAGAGCAAGAGCTCGGGTGTAACAATTTCCTCACCCTGTTAAAAGAACAGGTGGCCCCCTCCTAAAACTGAGACTTCCTGGGTTGCTATCCATGGACACAGTTGTACATAGAACTGTATTTCAGAAGCTCTGTCACCATTTTAAAGGTAAAATAATAAAATTATAATGTTTTTAATTTAAAATATGCATACATTTAATATACAAAATTATACAAATTATACATTTAGCTAACATAGAAAAATACATCTTGTTAACAAGATAAAATGTCAACATATCTTACATAATTTGTGAGAGTTACAAATCTGTGATCATCAAGTAGACTTTGTGACTTCATTACAATTCTGTATCCTCCTAGTTACACTGAATATTAATACATATGTACAGTTGATATCAATGGCAAATGTCTTAGAGTGGAAATCTTTGCTGAAGAGTTATCCAGAAGGTTTTAATGAAATAGTTAAAACATGAGTGGCCTCTTTGATACTATTGAAGCTTCTCACATAGCTGGAACTAATGTGACACCCAGTGACAGGGTGGTCATGGGTCAGAGTTTAAACTTTTTGCATTTATTTACAAACACCCCTCCCTCCCCAGTCTAACTGCTACACCTGCTTAATAAGTATCATCACACCATAAATCCCAACTTTTTTGTGCATTCTTTGGTACTTCTTCAAATTGATCCAAATTTATGGCCCTCACAACTGCTTTTTATGACTTTTGGCTACCACTCCTCTGTTGGCTGTGGAAAAGTGTTAAACAGTTGTACAGTTTTGTAGAGCTCAAAAGGCAAGATTCATCCCAGATTAGTCATAAATACCTCAGGAGGTGGGGAAATATTTTTGTTTCAGTCAAGAAATATGTGCAGTAAGTCTTCACTCCTTATTTAATTTACATGGTTTCCTTTTCCAAGTTCCAAACAAAAGACAGAAGTGTAAAGTTATAAATAAGCTATAAAAATCTGCTTCATGCTGGGCCTTGTCTTACATACTGTGAGCCATGTAATAATTTTCTTTCAACTATTTACAAATTATTTAAAACTTGCTTGTCATCACAGGGAGCAAAACAGAAGACCATCAGCAGTCTGATTTTCAGGCCTTCATTTTTTTAATTTATTTTTTCTTTTTAATTTAGCTCTGTACCAACAAATTGTTTAATTCCTAAAAGATAAAATTCACTCATGAGTTAAAAGCTTATTCAGCTTTTCCTAAGAGCTGCTTAGGACCATCCATGAGTGATACATGAATTGCCTCATGCAGTCTTTTTTGGCACTGGAGTGGTTTTCATCTGTTAGTTACATTTTCCCTATTTTTGAAAAAGACCACAGTTCAGAGAGTAGAGAAATGAGGTTGTTTGGCA